ATTGCGTCATATTCCTATTTTAATTCGGCACGCTCGGCAACGCCTACTACGCTTCCTAATTCGAACCAAGGGGCCCTTCTCACGCTTCCTAGCTCTCCTCATCACTGTGCTCATCGTCCCTGCCGTTCCCTGCCTCCATCGTGCCCCCATTGTTCCGCCTTTGTCGTCGTCGTCAACCTCCTTCGTTCCTGCCGTTTCCCACCTCCCTTGTGCCTTCTCAACCTCCTTCGTACCTTCGTCGTCGTCGTCCTTCGTACCTGCCGTTTCCCAACTCCCTCGTGCTTTCGTCGTTGCCCTCCTTTGTGCCTTCATCGTTGTCGTCCTTCGTACCTGCCATTTCCCAACTCCCTCGTGCTTTCGTCGTCGCCCTCCTTTGTGCCTTCGTCGTTGCCCTCCTTCGTATCTGCTGTTTCCCGCCTCCCTCGTGCTTTCGTTGTCGCCCTCCTTTGTGCCTTTGTCGTTGCCCTCCTTCATACCTGCCGTTTCCCGCCTCCCTCGTACTTTCGTCGTCGCCCTCCTTTGTAGCTTTGTTGTTCTCCTTTGTCCCTTTGTAGTTTGTCGCACCTCATTGCACTGGGTTATGTCATATTCTACTTGCACTGTGATATTGTAGATCAAACTAAGATGTCATTGCACTTTTATAAAAACAAACTAAGTCTATCACGAGCGATTCCATCAAGAAATGAGTTATAGCGCAGGAATAATGAAACTAGGGACATTGCTCAAAGGGGACAGGATGGCTGAGTCTGGGATATTGTTATGGTACTGGGGTGCTGCTCGAAGGGGAAAGGATGATTGAGTCTGGGGGAATTGACATTACTGGGTGCTCGGCAGTACACCCACTCGTGTTAGAGTTCGAGTTGGCGTTTGGAGTGGTGTTGACATCCTCCGAACCATCTGGTGTCTGTCCAGCTGTACACCTAGTCGTATTAGAGTTCGAGTTGGCGTTCGGAGTGGTGCTGACATCCTTTGAACCATCTGGTGTCTGTCCAGCAGTACACCCAGTTGTATTAGAGTTCGAGTTGGCGTTCGGAGTGGTGCTGACATCCTCCGAACCGTCTGGTGTCCGTCCAGCAGTACACCCGGTCGTATTAGAGTTCGAGTTGGCGTTCGGAGTGGTGTTGACATCCTCCGAACCGTCTGGTGTCCGTCCATGACTCTGGGTATCTTCGTCGTCACTGGACTCAATGGTCTCCGCACTCTTGTGCTTCTTGCTACATCTGGGGTCAGCTATCGCATGTCGTACTCGCTTCTTACCCTTGTCGGACCGTGTCCTGCGGCGGGACTCGATAATGTCACCACTGTCAATTTTTTCATTGCGCTCGCGACGGAGTTGCTCGAGTTCCTCGTCATTCAACACTTCCCACCTCGTATCGCCCGACTTCCAACAGTCTAAAAGAGTATGGAGGTCCGGAAGCGCGTTGGTCACACTGCTGAGGTTTGTGAATGGGATATGCTCCGGCCATCCTTTGATGGCGACCTGATAGCGGTTGACCACGTTACGAAAGTAGTCTGCCCACTGCATCCTGGCATTGCTTTCTCCGGTCACCTTCCCTATGAATAAAATGAATTCTGTGCTGTCAAAAGATGGGAAAGACTTACTCAATTTCTGGGTGATGATTGCTCGAATGTCTCCGCGAACCTTAGAGACCTCTTTTTGATGGTTGCTTGCGGCACCTAGTACAAATAGAAATTAACTTGAGAATGTAATAACAACGGAAAAACTGTACCTTGTATCCCTTGGATAGCGAAACCTTCCATCTTGCTGAGGAAGTCCTGAGTATCGATGCCGATGACAGAGTCCATAAAGTGATTGACACCCGGCGTTGTGAAGGTGATTGCACGGAGAGGTAGATCAGTAGTACCGCGCGTCATATACAACATGACCTCGGCACCAGTGCGAGAATTTAAACTATTGAGCTAGTAACGAGACACTTAGTAACATTGTATTGCAATTCGAGGGTGCGTACCTCGTTTTCTACCGCCTTCAGGGTTTGAGTGATGTCGTTGATCTTCGACTTCGTTGAGACACGTAACCCAGAGACCTTGGTCTCCTTCTGGTCGGCGAATTCCTGGAGCAACTCTTGTTGTTCTTCCTGTGTGAGAGCGTGGTATTCATCCTTGTGGTCGCGGACCAGTGACTGGAGTGCTTCCTTTCCGTGGCCATTGCCTGTTAATTCAACATTGAGTCATGAAAATGCATATGATACAAATCAACAGACTTACAGTTCTCTTTCTTCGCTTCCTGAGATTTCTTCCAGCAAAATGCGTTCCAAACGCTGGGCTTTGAATGCTTCGAACGGAGTGATCCCCGACCCATGTATAAATCGTGCTGTACATGACGGAAGCTCTTGCGATGGGTAGCAGCAATGGTTGTTGTAACATCGTCAATTTGGCCCCATGCAAGATCAAGCGCATCCTTGAATTGACGCGACTTCTTGGTTCGCTGAAACTTGAGTGCCGCGCGAGCTTCTTTGCTGAGGGTGACCTTAGGACGACTACGAGGTGGTGCTTGAATGCGCTTCGCACGCTTCGCAGCATAGAAGGACTGGGAGACCATCACCCACAGAAGGATGGCAAAAATCAGCAAAGGGCCTTTGTAGTTGAATACGAATATTTTATACACACCAATGCATTTATTTTTTCTAACCCACGGCAAAAAAACAGGACACATGGCTTATAACTAAGACTCAAAAGGGGAAAGTGATCTACAGCCAAAATAATAAGATGCCGAAAAAGTATAGGCCGCATAAGAAAATCAATATACCAATAAGCTTCAAAATGGACATGAGGACAGATGACGGCTGCTATGGACATTCAATTGAGTTAGTATGACAGCAGCAGCCAAAATAATATCACTGACCTTTACAACATCAGGGCTACGTGGCATGCCCTGAAGGTCAGCCAGGAGCGCCCTAGACAGAATGGAAGCATGTTCGTACGAGAGATCCCATTTTGGAGACCTGAACACTGCCTCCCATCGGCTGCTACGCACAGTTTGAACTAGAACACGGAGCTTAGGTAAAACTTCATCCCCCAACTTAATCCAATCCAGAGCGGCGTCAGTATTCGGTCCAATACTAATGAGTGGCGGTCCACATGCAGTATCCTGCTCCAGTCTTGGTACCGAAAAAATCGGGCCATCATTAGTTACCTTGCCAGGTGTGAAAATTTCCGCGTGCCTGCGTCGGTGAACTCGTGTGTGTTGGGTGGTCAGCTGTGGCGAAATGTTCTCGCCAATACCTTCGCTCATTTCTGCACCCCCGCGGATAGCTGCAGAAGGAGCATCGTGCACCGCAGTTGCTTTCAATTCTTGCGTGAAGGTATGGGCCGGTTGAGCAGAACATTGTATATGCGCTCCAGTAGCAACCACTGGGCCAGGTAGATACTGTGGGCCCTTGACATTGATATGAGCCGCAGAAACTGTTGAATTTGAGTCAGTTGTGTGAACAGTGAAGCTGAAAATGATCTACTACTTACAGCATGGTGGCGGTTGGATGTTTTCGATGACACAACGTTGATTGAACCGCTCGAGGTGTGGCATTGCAAACTCCTGGGCAAATACCTGCACCCAGACGGCAAGGTCTCCGCCAATTCGCTCGGGAGTTTCTTGTAGTTCGCGGGGCGTAATGTAGAGGTCGACAGGGAGGTTTTCGGGTGAAGAGACTGCTTCAGACCCAGCGCATCGAATGAGGACAGAAATTCCGCCATCAAGGCGATCTTGCATACTCAGCTGGGAAACAAGTGAGACATAAATAAGATGCGGACACTGACTTGAATGACTCATGGCGTCGAAGACGTCTTGCAGTGATGCCTCCAGAAGCTCCTCGTGGGTAAGGGATTTTTCACTGGTTCGTTTAGCAGTGCTGCTAAAGGCAAAGTACGACGGGTGAAGGCCACCAGGCAGTCTAGCCTGATAGTGTGTCCCGTCAATGTGAACGTCGTGTCTCAGTAAAGCCCTGGCGGCCGCTTGACGTTCGTTATTGCTGAATCCTTGAGCGAACATTGAGTTGTGTAGATTGGCAAGACTGGGGATGGCGAATTTTTTAGTGGCTGATTCCGTGGTTTGACTTGAGGGCTGAACAGAGGTGATAGACGCAGTGGCTCTGAGGCTAGAGATTGGAGTGACCATTATGGAACCGGTGATGTAGTCTGTAGTTGTGAAGCAAGGTTAAAAGCACAGATAAGCGCCAAAACGTAAAATGTAATACTCACTTTTGCAGGCCATGCAATTCTGGAATGAGTTCCAGAAGCACAGATCAAGCATGAAATAGCAGTGGTCGTAAACCATGAAGAAAATGAAAGGCTGGCGACTTCAAGTTGCTGCTATAGAATTCAGCTGAATACATGTGTTCAGCAGAATATTGCGTTGTCCGTGATTTGACACTCAATACAGCACGTGAGCTCACTTTGCAAGATCGGATATCACACAACTACATAGTACAAAATAGTATACAATGCATATTCATACAGGAATGACAAAGGACTATGCTATGAACGGCATGACACTTCAGATAGCCGCATAATCCTCCGAGTCAGGCAAAGAGTCTCCCTAACATTCAAGAAAGCCTACCAGGGGTCGCCAAACTAGCCTATCTGAATATCATTGTGATGAGGTCACCACAGGAGAAAGCTTGAGATTGCCAACTAACCTATCCAAACATCATCGGCATTCAAGTTGGTCCACCTATCCGAACATCATCGGCATTCAAGTTGGATCAAGGTGAGATCGCCAACTCACCTATCCAAACATCATCGACATTCAAGTTGGATCAAGGAATCGCGACGAGGTCACCATGCAGAAAGCTCGGGGTCGCCAACTAACCTATCCGAACATCATAGGTATTCAAGTTGTTCAATTCTTTCTTATATCACCCACACAATCACTTATACAATCGTCTACCTACTCTTTCTTATATCACCGATCAAACCAGAAAACTTCTCATATATGTAGTCCTATGCGGTACATGAAAAAAAACAATTACAAAGCAGAGATGGTGTCAGTCGTTTATTGAGTACAAAAAATCAGCCATGTCTTCGGTGACCACTTCGTGCTCTTCACGGTCAAGGGCTTCAATATCATGGAATTCCGACGCAGAAGAATCAGGATTCTCTGCTTGTGCTGTGGCGAGAATTAATGCGATATAGGTAGTTAAAGATCCACACTCACCGGAACTAGCACCGTTGGTATTGACTGGTCTGCTGAACGCAGGATTCGCAAGGCGAGTTCCAATGCCACTAATACCAGAGAATCCAAATAGTCTCTCAATCTGATCTAACCGATATGTGTGCACAGCGTTGATAGCCGCCCGTGAGCGCCACTGGCGTTTCAACTCGGCAGCAAGCAAAGGGTTAGCTACAAGAAGTTCGTCGATAACGGCAGACGTGTCAATGGTTTCATCGTGGATAGCAGTTCGGAGCCGGCGAATTTCAATATTGAGTCGAATAATTTCTTCGCAAGCTCGGCAGAGCTTGAAGTACTTTGTAGTCGCCTCACGGTGAGCTGGCCTTGCCCAATCCTTGTCTTGGATGTCAGTACGAGAGTCACGCAGAAGGTCAAACTCGCCAAGGAAACTGTATTCGGCAATGTCTTTCCATGCGATCGTTTGTCTCGGTGGGATGAGGGAAGCAGCCTGGATATTGTAGCGATTGATCGCGTTGCGAATAGTGTCCGAGCGCCGCTGTAAAGCTTTACTAATCTGTTGACGTAGTTTGTATCCTAAACAATTTGTAAACGAATCAGTCATAGTACAAGCGCTTACTAGTAGTGGAAATCTCAAACCTGTGCCCGATAACGAGAGCTTTGAGAGTTCAAACAATCTCATGACGACCAAATGTTCGAGTTCATCCAATGCAGTACGATACTTGCCGAGTGTCGCTTCCTCCTTGAAACGTTTGTATTCGTCACCGCCAATCAACCATCTCTCATCGACAGATAAGAGTGTTTCGCAATGAGCAACAAGCCCCTCGGCATGCTGTAATTTGGCGTATGAAGAATTAACTCGGATGCGAGCTTGCTTCAGGGCGTCATGCATCTGTTCCAAGCTGCCAATATGTACTCCATTAAGAGCGTTATTGCCAGATTCACGGGCGAGATCCCATTCAGCTCTATTAAAATTCATATCAGGGGATGGGTGGTAGTTAGTAGTCGATGGCACGATACCTTCTTTCAGCGAGTTCGTCTAGTACTTCAACGTAACGTATAGAGAGTCGATCTCGTGGAGCTGGCTGCTTCAGACCATCCAGATATATGCGTTCCTGATCAAAGAATCCAGGGAAGTCGTTGTCGCTAAGGCGTAGCTCGGCCTTGATAGTTTCTAGCTCGGCTGTCAGCAACCGAACAGATTTCAACGCTTCGCGATAATGAGTCCACAAATAATTACCTGACACTGCGGCATCAGTATTACAATTACAGCTTGATTTTTTGACTTACTAAGTGCAGCATACTTATCGGCATCCCAAAAAGCGAAATGTTCCTCGATGGCTTGGTGGCGATGAAAACGGTTAGCATGCCTTGTGCTACGCGCAAGCTCGTTAGATGCAGAGAAGATATGCTCACAACCCTCGCCCTCAGTATGGCCAGTTCCAGAGATATACATTGGGTGCCAGTCAAGCTGACACCTTCGATTGTGCGCATGGCCATGGAAGGCGCCAACCATCATCCGAAAGCCGAGATCGTGTGCACGAGGGCCCAACGTACTATTAGCTAACGTCTTCGAGAATGCGCAACCGATATCGTACGCGCAACCTCCATTTTTTCCATATACCGTAAGGAGTTTGTCGATGATCGCTATCAGATATTTCGCACTGCCAGAATACATTAGTAATATAAAAATTAGATCAAAATGCGGTCTTACAGTTCTCCGCTTCGGATCATATCACACGCGAGAAGCACAAAGCGATGGCGGCATGAAGCGATAAAAATACCTGACTCTTGGAATACGGCAAACATCTTCTTACGTGAGTCTGGGCCAGCGTTTCTCCATCGATTGACGCATGTGAATGCTCCCGGATGATCCGGGTCTGTAGGCTCATCCTCCCAGTCGTCATCATTCCTCAAGTCTGTCTAAAAGATAATGTTAGAACATAGTTGTATACATAGTAAACACTTACTTGTCGGGATTTGACTTCATTCTCAAACTTGTCAACAGCGTCAGCATGAATCCAATAATCCGAACGAGCTGTGCGAGAATCAGATCGGGCGGTGGTACCATAGATGGACGAGTCCCATCGCTTCAGGCTATTGTTACCGTCAATTGATACCAGCCATTCAAAATCGAGGGCAGGTTCATCGTCGAGCTTGTAAAAGCATGCAGGGCATGTGTTTAACATACGCCAGTTGACGGTATCCCGTTTGAGCGCCTGACGCAGACGCTGGTTGATGCGATGGAGGATTTCTAGAAAAACGTCATAGGCTGCCGAGAATTGCATTTTTAAGTATGGCCGATATGGAATCTACAAACTCAACATAAATAAACGAACCTCAATGTGAGGAATGTACGTACATCGTGAAGGTAACATAAAGTCTTGCATTGTGATGTTGACCTAGTACTGAATACAATGTTGCCATATAGAGACTTACATTTGGTGTCTCAAGACCAGCATACTCGAGCGCAACGGAGTATATGCAACTGGCAAACCTTGAACCACCCCCTTCGTACGCTAGCAACCTCATCCCACTCTTCATCGACATCAATCAACCCCCCAAAGCCTATCAGGGCTTTCCCTCGCGATTGGATGGGCACATAGCGACAGTGCGTGAGTGTACGGTACAGCAACACAACGTGATCAATGTCATGATGTGTTGGCCCTTGGTGTGTGCCACTGTGTATGGCGGATGTTTTCAAGCTTAGGTTTTGTCAATACTTGAACAACTCAACGATCTGACACGGGTCTACAAACCTAAAGCTCACGCCTCCAGTCATCGAGATCCATGGATTCACTTGGAAAGTGCCCTCCTTGTCAGTGCTGTCCCCTCAAGCAGGTGCCGATAACGTATCCTCTTCTAGATGCGAGCATCACCGTATCGTTCGGTTAAGATGATGATGCATGGAGACAATGGAGAGGGCTCATACATGGTGCATGTGTGGAGATTCACCGACAGATATCGATTTTGTACTATACAATGAATCCGTGCTTAGCATATAGAAGTGGGTCAAATATCTCGGTTCGTCTATTTCAATTTTCTATCTGTCACTATCGTAAATCACTTACACATGGCACCCTAGTTCTGTCTCTTCGCGTTGTCCCACGTTCACGAATTGCCGTACCTCTGAATCTCTCACTCAACTGCTTGCCAAGAGTTCACACTATGCATAGCCCAACTTCTCTAGCCGCTACAGATGACCCTGTAACTAGATCTTAGGAATACACGGATTCATGGCACTCTACGGTTCCACAATCAAGTGAACGTTGCGGACGACGGTCATCGACCTTCACACCCACGTTGCAAATTGAAGATTCTGCACTAACCATTTTGGCATCCTTACGATACGAAAGCCCAATGACTGAGGAAGAGAGTGTCAAGTTTTCAGCTCCCGCAACTGTAATTTCTACGTGGAGTGTACAGATGTCACTTTTTGATATGTCCAAGCACTGGATAGTGGTATACGTATATATAGCGCGAATCTCATCGTCATACGTCCACCCAGTTCGCCTCTCACCTACACTCATTCTCTACCAACATGACCATAGTTTCAGATGAGCCCACTTGGTGGCCGATCATCGATGCCAATCGTTTTTTAAGTTATTTTTTAGGTTCGTGGAGAGCAGTTAGATGTTGAAGCTACTTGATCTAATCTTGGCTGCGATTTCGCAGTTGTCGCCTTTGTTGGAGTGACATATGATTGGGGTAAGCATGATAATATTGCAGCACTAGTGTTGATGTCTTACGAGTATTTTTAGCACTTACCTTCGGGCAAGAGGTATGTCCATGCTATGACTGGAGCAGCTCTCACTAAGAAACCTTTTGTAGGTTGAATTGGTCTGGGTGAGTAAAGTCTCATGTCAGAGGAACAATTATGCAAATAAACTTAATTACAGAGACAACGCTGGTCCCTTATGACAGTTTTGTATCTCGGCGTATGTAGCTCGTTTGTCATGGTTGTCATGTCGTGCTGACTCGAAAGTATTTTAGGTCCGCTACCTTGGAATCTTACATGCTGCGTATGTTTACAAGGCTAAACAATCGATGTTGTATTAATCGTCTATATCTTATAGGCTGAACATGCTGAGTACGTTTCCTTGATATATTCGCTGTCTTTTTTCTTCTGACTAACGGCATACAGCCAGTATTCCGACCATCTGGCTGACAGATACAGTGAGTCATCTGCACAGATGCCTACTATTCAGCCCCAGTTAACCGTGGTGCCCTGTAGGGGTAAGCGCGGTTCTTTATTAACTTCTTGGTTCTCTAATGACTGTCACGTCATACTTCCACAGATGTAAGTGTGTTTAGAGTGTGCTACCCAAGGCCGATCACTGACTGGATTTACCAGGCTGGATTGTGTACGTCGTATGGAATTGGACGGGTGTTGTGGTGTTTGCGATGCTGTGGGGTGAGCCTGGGACCTGTGAGACCTCGGTGATATTTTTCTGACTGAAACATGTCGCCAGTTATCATCATCACTCGGTTGTATGCCATGTATCAGCGATCCAGAAAGATACTGATATCTCTCATTGGCACCTTCCTGGCTGTCAACATTTTTGACGGAGTGGTAACCGTAATGACAGCGAAGCATATTTCAGGAGGTACGCTTGATCACGATGAAAATACACGTGTGTGGGGCTCAATGATGAATACAAGAGGAACGCGATCTCTCTGGCACTTATCAGTGCTCGTTTGCCTATGCACAAGATACCCCACTTCTGTCGTCCATTACTTGGATACTCGGCATCGTGTGGGAGGTACTCGCACTATGTCTCGCAATCTGGATTGCGGTCAAACACTTCCGTGAACTGCGAAAACATTCGGCAGGAGGAATTATCGGAGACTGTTTCACGGTGTTAATGAAAACTCACATGGTTTACTTTGCTAGGCAAGCTTATATTGCGATTCTTGTTTCTTTTTCACTGAAGGGTCGAACGTCCTAGCTTTGTTGCCGTTTCTTGCTTCGAGCTTGTTCTTGATTTCTCTCCAACACTCTCAACGGTATGTCGATCTTTCACTTACGACCTCTCCATGCTACCATTGTTCATCGTTTCAATAGGAAAATACTTTGAACACTCTGCTTTACGCTGGGTTTCTTCAGATTTTGGAGATCGTGCAGTTTGTGCTAGGACCACGTCTGATTCTTAGTGTTCGAGAATATCACGCCAAGCTCGTGACCGATTCGGACGCAGCAACTGGTATGGCCTCAATCGCTTTCCAGGAACGCGTGCATATATCGACTGGCAGTAGTGTGTAACTATTGGTGAAGTTTCCGGCTGTCTGGCGCTCTACGAAGAGCAGGGGAATTTTCTTTTATTTAGTCTCACTTTTGTGATGGTATCGATCTAAATTATCTGTGTTCCAAAGTAGATTCCAAGGAGACATACAAAAATTTTGTCGTAGAATTTACCTGAGTGGTTTGCTATGTGTTCTCAATCAGATATCTCTGCTGGCACTAGCTGCCCATCTACACTTGCACCAAGCACTGGTTCTTCCTTTCTCCGTGTGATGGCATTCATTCCTATGGTTCCTTGGGTGAATGAGCATGCGAGAGCCAAGTCGAACAACGGTACACTGCTTCAGTTCCTCAGCAATCCGCCCTCGATTCATCATCAACTCATTCAACATCTCACTCTTGAGAGAGATCTACTCGAAATCCTCTTGTATAGCCTATTTCTATCAAGTAATAACTTATATAAATAAGTACCACAACAAAACCTGGAATAAATAAATAAAGATATACCATTCCCTGCAGACTTATCCGCCGATTGCAAAACGATCATATCGAGAATGGTCTACACTACACGCTACTGCTAGTTTCCACATGGACACGTTCCTCGAAAGTAACTGAAGTCATATCACTTGCTGTATCATAGTCGGCCACGAGTTTTGCATAATATTCTCGAACACCAAGGATGAGGCGTGGTCCCAGCACAGACATCTGCGCCATCTCGAAAATTGAAACGAAACCATAATAAATCTCGATACCTAGGGACAATTCACCCTATAGAATTGATTAATCATGTGTGCACAGAGGTCGGTGACCGACATACCGCTGAGAACGTCGGAGAGAAAAAACCAGCCATCTGGAAGCAAGAGATAACCAAAAAACTAGCGCATACAAAATTTCAGCAGAACAAGAGAACCACATTCACATTATGAGCTTACCTTGCAAAGTAACTAATGTGAGTCTGCATCAAGACCGTGAAACAGTCCCCGATAATACCTTTTGTCGAGTGTTGTCGCAATTCACGTAAGTGCTTCACAGTAATCCAGACCGCGAGACACAGAGCGAGGACCTCCCAAACAGTGCTAAGTATCCAAGTCACGGAAAGCAAAAGTAGGACATTCCCAGAACTGTAGCCAAGGTTGCACTGATAGGTACCGGAGAGAACAAATTCCTCTGGTATTTGTCAATGACTCTGATTAAACATTTCATGCATAATTAAAACCTACCTCCCGAAAACCCCATCATCGACATTGTGATCATCACTACGTTGGGGATGGCGGTGGCCAGAAAGATGACAACCAGAAATATCAGCACCTTTCTGGATTGCTGATACATGGCATGTAACCGAGCGATCATGATGACTTGATGATATTTCAGTCAAGTCAATATCACGGAGGTGTATAGCTCACCGCCCAGTATTACAGTTACAACTGCAGACATCCAATTATGTGCCTTGAATATGATAAGGCCTGACGAATCCAGCAGCATTAGTTATCAGCTTTGGATGATCACAGGCTCGAAATAAACTCACAGCTGTGGAAGTCATTATATTGAAACAAAGAGTTGTTCGAGAATCTCACTCACGCCTACACGGTATTTCAGTTGTTTGGACGGTAATGGAAGGCATCAGTATGGAATACTCACTGCATCTGTCGTCCAAATTGTTGGAACACTAACTGTATGCGGCCCGTCAGAAGAAAGAAAGAAACTCTACGGGAGGAGACATACTCAACACGGTGAGGCTAAATTTAGAGATGGATGATGAGTGCAACACCAATGGCTTAGATGTCGAAACGTACACACTATATCCTATTCCAACATATCGCGTCTAGGATATGTCTGGGTTAGTACAACTTGCTAACCACGCATGAAAATACAAGCTACATACAGTGAGATACAAAACGGTCATCATGGACCACCGTTGCCTCTGCCACGAGTTAGTTGTCATAGTTTCACATCGTTATTTTGATGTGAGAGTCCGCTCACCCAGATCAACTCCACCTATAAAAGTGTTGTCAGCGAGATGGCTGCTCCTGTAACAGTGTCTACCTA